TTTTTTTTTTTTTTTTTTTTTTTTTTTTTTTTTTTTTTTTTTTTTTTTTTTTTTTTTTTTTTTTTTTTTTTTTTTTTTTTTTTTTTTTTTTTTTTTTTTTTTTTTTTTTTTTTTTTTTTTTTTTTTTTTTTTTTTTTTTTTTTTTTTTTTTTTTTTTTTTTTTTTTTAAATATTGGGGCAATATTTCTCGGTTTCCTTTCTTTGCCTCTGATTATTTTTTCTCATTTCAGTCTTTGTTGAAATAGGCTACAACTCGAACAGTGGAGAAAGATCGCACTCCAGATGAACGATTACTATAATCCTCTTACAATATTCACCTAATCACTCACTCTGCTATATATTTCTCGGTAATCTAGTTAGTATTAGATATTACACCACATGTCCTTATTAGTGTGTTGATATTGTATTTTTCCTCATATGCAAAGAACTCTTTGTAACTACTAGAAGCGTCAATAACCTTTAAGTTGAACTCTTTGATGTGAAGAGTCTTTCATATTCATATAAACATCATATTGTAATTGACAAATTTTCATCATTCTCATAATAATTAAGTATGAAAGTATTAACATATTTCATAATTCCAAAATTTGGAAAAATGTGATTGCTATTAATGGTTGACGACAGTCAGCGGCTATATTGTCTGGCCAGCATATTACTTAACAGTTTGAACAAATAATTTATAAATTAAGAACAAAGATACCTTGAACCAACTATTCAACCTTGTCACCTTGTGAATAGCGAGATAAATTGCAGGACTAGGGCCTAAAGAAAGACAATAGGACATTCAGAAAGACGGATAATTAGACGGATAATAGCTAAAACGGCTATATAAAGTAACAGACAGATAAGTGAGCGTACAAATGCATGAACAGACGACAGGCAACAGGCAAGCGGATAGAGGAACAATCGAATGGATAAATGAATAGATAAAACAAAGCAGTCGATAGATGGTGAAAAACAGGACTGCGGAAGGAGGAAATTATGAACATAAATAATTGAATGGACGATGAGGAACGAATGAACAAAATGCTCGACGGATGGAGACTTGACACAAGCATACCATCAAGGACTTGGACGGATGAATGAACCAATACACGAACGGACAAATCGGTTGTTGGATGGTCGTTGAAACGGATAGAGAATTAGAGCGAAAAATCGACGAAGAAACTGACAGAGAGCAGAGCGACAGAATGTCAGAGAATTATTACATACCACTTAATAAATTTGTAGAATGAAATTCAAATGTAGGGTGACTATAGATAATAGTTGTTTTTGTGTGTTGCTACGCAACAAATTCAGATACTTACAAGTCAAGTTGCTGAAACAATGCCATGGAATTTTGCCACATTTCGTTTCAGGCCACTAAGCTAACGAAAATAATACCATCCAAAAATCATATGGATCATCCTATGATCGGATTACATGATTTGTTAATTGGATAAATCAACTTACAACCAACTAAATGGACAAATAAATGAAGTACATTTCGAAAGAGCGGGATAAGCTATAAAATTTAATAAATCTCTTCAAACATCAGGAAGCTAAGAAAATGAAATGTCTGCGATAGGAGTAATTTAGCATACATACTTTGAGTCTCGAATCCTATAAATAAAACGTTTTATAAGAATTGCTTGCATGTATGAAACAATTTCTTCGCCAACCTATTTCTCATTCAATGCGTTAAAAGGAGTTAGTTATGAATTTCAAGTCAGGTCATATGCATATAAATGTTTTTGATAGAACTGGGTATATGTAAACATAAGGAATTTCGCTTTAGAAATTCTTTTATTCTTTCTTTACTGGTTTAACTTTTATAAAAAAAAAAAAAATAATTTATTAAAATTTATTGTATAATAAAAATTCAATCAAAAACTTAACCGCTTCAATTAATTTTTTGCGTAGAAGCAAGCGTCCAAATATGCATACATATATATAACAAATTGGAGGACAAATTGACTATTATTTTCTCGTCACGAGATTTTTGTAAAATTGTCTTTACGGCAATTTGTTTTAATTTCTTTTTAAAGAGAAATATTCATATAGGAAAAGATAAATATGTTCGTGTGCATATATGGTGCACGGCTATATGCGTCGGGTTTACGCTTAAACCATAGGATGCCAACTATGCATCACTTAAAATAAAAAACAACTGGGAGTTATATGGGGAACATATATATATATATAGATAAAGAAAGAAAAAAAGCAAAAAATGCTATTTAAGATAAAAATACTCGGTCGCGTAGAGCTAGCTACACAGACACATGACAAGTGGATCTATATCGTCTTGTTTGGGGCAACATTAAATTTAGAAGCGAGCATACTAATATTGCATATTAATGAAAAGTAGCCGACAAAGCGTATAATTTTAGCTCAGGCATATGTGTATTATTCCGACACCATCAACGACAATTGCTCAACTAGAAACTTTTGCGTTATATATCAACATGTGTATATGTATTATATATACTTATGTCTGCTTATGTGCATCATATGCGATATATTTGCATATTGAGAGAAGGCTTATTAACAACAACATATCAAAAATAAAATAAAAAAAAAAATAAATAAAAAATTAGTTTATAAAAATTGAAATCTAAAACTTTTTTTATTAATATTATATTAAATTGTTTGGCTATAGCTTCTTCTAACAACTTTTCATTCTCTTATGTTTTGTCTTTTTCTTTCTTTTGCAGATAAACTTTAACTCATATTTAAAAGAAAAAAAAAAATAATAATAATAATAATAATAAGAATAAGAATAATAATAATAATAAATAAAAACCAAATTAAAAACAATAAACACAATAAAGTGCTGATAGAAATGTAAATGTATATGTTTTAACCCAGAATGTATAAATTTGTAGTGCATTCATTGTATGTATGTGTGTATGTATATAAAAAAACATATGCCATGTATTCTTAACATTCATAGCATTTAACCAACTAACACATGCATTGAAAAGCGAATGCAGGCAAGCAAATAAGAAAAAAAAGAAAAAAAATAAATAAATAAAATAAAACAATAATAATAATAATAATAATAATAATAATGCCCTCATAAGTCTTTAACAACATTGCCTCCAAACAGTAAAAGCAACAACAAAACAAATTGTGAGAGAGAGAGAGAGAGAGAGAGAGAGAAAGAAAAAACCAAAAATAAAAAGAAAGAGAACGGTAGCGCGAGAGACTGAGAGAGAGAGAGAGAGAGAGAGTGAGAGAGAGAAAGAGGGCTTAAGGTAACCAGCCGTAAAATATGCTCGAAATTAACAACAATTCTCATAACATTAGTGCCAAATTAGAACCTAAAGTACCTGAAAAAAGAGTAAAATACAACAATAGCAGCAGCGGCAACAACAAGAACAACAACAAGAACAACAACAAGAATAGCAATAATAGCAACAGCAGCAGCAGCAGCAGCAGCAACAACAAGAACAGTAACAGAAAAAGCGACAAAAACGAAACAGAGCCATATAAAGTAAATTAATGAATTTTATCAACAATTATATACGATAGCATGTGAAGGCAGAGATGAAAAAAGCGATGCTCTAGAATATTTGGTTAGAAAATGTTACGGAATTAATCTTAAATTGGCAGAAGAATTCAATAATCATAAGGAGAAGGCAGAGTTTGAAATTAGTTTAGAAAATTTTTGAATGAATATCAAAAAATGGCCGGTCCACAAGTGCAACGACCCCATAGCGCTTATTATAGTGGACTTAACGGTTCCAATGGCGTTACTAGCGGTATGGTAACGAGTACCTCAACTCATACCAATTTGCATGCTATACATACCATATCTCACGATAGTGAATTGATATATCGTGGCAGCAATGGCAACCCCATTTCCACTGGGGATCCGTGCACAGCTGGTACTAGTCATTCAATAATCCCACAACAACATTTACTCAACAGAACTGGCAGCAATGCCAATATATCTAGTATTGCTGGGACAGGGAAAAATCCCAGCGATGCTTTAATTGTTCCTGCTGGCAATTTGCCCGCGTCCAACACATCCATAACAAATACTGCAACAACGAAATCCACATATTCGCTAAAATCTTCCACTAAAGAAAAACAATGTAGCTTAGATGTTATTGTAGATGCGTCCCAGAGTAACAATAATCAACTAGAGGATGATGTAGAGCAAGGCAAATCGAGACGATCGTCACGTCACCGTCATCGACCATTGCATAGACGCTTTCTAAATTATTTGAAAACATTTTTTAATCGCACCACAACACAACACGGTAAGCAATCAAGAAAAATTCATAACATCTTATCAAATACGTTTATCATATACATTATACATCATTATGTATTCATTCTATCTGCTTATTGTATTTCTTAACTCACTATATAAATATTTTTTAGACAACAGTAGAAGGAAGAGAACAAATGCTTTAACATTTAACATTTAAACTAGTAGTTTAAACTAACACTAACTTTCTGTGCCTACTTATAATGATTGAAAAAAACATTTTTGTATGTGTATTAACCAAATGTCTCTCAGTTGCAAACACCAATTGCTACGGTTTATAAATTCCTCGCAACGATAAAGAGGGCTATTATGGTCCTTAAGATATCTGTCTCGAATGTCCTGCGAACTACCAATGCACGATAATCGACAATTGATTGATAAGAAGGAAATTTACCAAATTTCCTTTGGATAGCAAATGTCTTAAGTTGATTTGAATTATTTTTCAAAACGCTTGCGGCCAAGAAGTGCATTTATTATACACTATCATGATAAATGTCATTTCAATATATTCAAGTAATAAATATCTATTGGGATTTGATATATACTCTAACCAGAATCTAACGATTTTAATATCCACGCACGGGAAACTGATATATTAAACTTGTAGGGTAACGCAAAACGCATTAGAGACATCAACTCCTTAACCATTATATTACAAATTATTTAAAATATTATATCTTGGCTTTTTCATTATTCCACAAATTAAGAATTGGAATTGAAGTATAAATCTGTATCGAAGGTCTAGTAAATTCCAACTATCGAATATTCTATATATCTATATACGATCTACCTATGCAGGAGACGGAAATTAGTAAATTTCAAACCCAAATCAATCGATCAAAATAGTTGATTGTACAAAAACCAATCGGACTTGACTACAAGATTTGTTTTGATTCGCACCGATGTTCTAATTACGTGAATTATCACGAACCTTGTCCGAGAAATATTTTCATTTACAGTATTCGCTACGCAGATGTCTTCTTGCCTGTTTGTGCGGGATGTTTCATCTTTTTGGAAGTTTCATATATACAGATTGTTTGCTTCTACAATGGAAACGTGAATAAGTCATTGCTTTTGTTAAAAAGAAAGGCTTGAGCTTTCCCTTAACATACGACGTTCATAAAATTTTACATTGAATTGACATTGAATAAGTTCCCGATGTTCTCCAAGAGCGGTCATAGCTAGTACGGTGAGATGATGAATAAAACTGTCAGTTTTTCATCTGACCGTGCTGTTTACAGACCGATGCTTGGGTCCTTCACGTTGCCAAGATTGCTTACATGTATATATATATATATATATATGGTATACATATACCATATTATATATATCTATGTATATACCATTATATATATGTATATATATAACATTCGTTTTATTCTTCGAGAAGCCTTTTTATTATATGACTTTTCCGAAAACACCAACATATGTCTTCTTATGTCGTATATTGTCGAAAAAAAGCACGAATTTCTTCATGCTTCTATCTCACTATCACGTAATTCAAAGTTTGGATACTCAGAATCAGGATATGCAGAAATTTTTACAAATATCATAATTTCGCCTCGAACGATTGATGCGGTGTTATTGTAGCATATATATGCACAACAAAACTTTCACAAGCAACACGCATATGTGGGATAAGTTTTAGTGTCTTTTTTACAGCGAATGTAGGCCCTCTTTTGTTTTAACTCTATTATTCAACAACATGTTTACATACGGTGCGTTATTTGTGTTTACATAAGTGGCTGCTCTGCCATATATATTTTTCTTGAAAAAATCATCAAAAGACAAAAACATTGTTTAAATGAACATTTGCTCTAGCTACGTTGTAACGGTATAAAAAAAAAAAAAATAAGGAATTCTTTTACAATACACTTTGGAGACAATATTTGATACATGTACTCAATATCAATCCATCAGTCTATGCATCAGTCGGTCTGCCCAATCCTTAGACGTGATACTTGTAATTGATATGGACAATGACCCAAAATGCTTGTCAAAGGAGAGGAGTTATATCACGATTGTGAGCTTTTTTAAGTGTTCTCTAATTTCTATCTAATTCCACATGTGGATTATACTCTTATATAAACCGAAGAATATAAAGGTCAACGGACTTTGGAAATATCGCATTTTACATCTTTATATATAAATATTATCAACATAATCTATTTCTTTAGGGGCGAAACACTTGAAATCGTAAATGAAGTCCTTAAGTATCTTTTCTTACTCTTCTTATTCTTATCCTTTTTTTAATTTTCTTTTATTTTTCTCACATTTTTTCATTTCTGGTTTTTTTTCCTTTCCTTGTATTCTTCTTTTTAAGAGTTTGTAAGGTTAGCCATTAAAACAAAACGCGAACATTGATAATCAATTTCCTTAGGTTTAACATATATACAAGCAAAAACATTATAGTCGACCACGCTACACTATTAAATACCCTACGCCGCTTCGTTTAACATAGTTATTCCTATAACAACTTTTCAAAGTAAGGAATTGTACGAGACGTGGATAGAAAAAATGATACGATGCGAACGATGTTTAGCAGGGTTCGTCCTTGTGTCATCATCTTATCCAATTTCATCGAATTATCTCAAAAAAATTGTGACCTGTGGGTTGAATATAAAAGTACAGGAGGGTCAGAGGGACTAACAAGCAGAAAAGTTTAGATCGATTCAGAAAGTGATTCTGGGAGAGAGGTCTATCTCAATTCCTTCTCGATGTTGCATACATCCACACTAATTTAAGATACCATACAAGTTAGAATATAGCTCCCATGTGTGGACGGGAGTCTTCAATACTTTTTTAAAAGCGTTCAAACGCAGAAAACGAAAGGCTCAGTTGCTAAAGGGTAACGTAGATGTGCCCAAAACTCTCGATACCCTCGAGCATCGGCGTAATGCTGGTTGCGTGGTGCTTATGTCTAGATACATCCCAGGCAAGTGTCTACTCTTCGAAAACTCAATCCGCTTGAGGAAATGCTTTGCCTAAAAATCTTGAAAGCAATTACGAAATTTTTTTTGTTTTATTTTGATGTTTTTGTTAACCCTGTTATCCGAAGTGAGATAAATTCTTTTCATTTTCTTCTATTATCCCATTAACTTTTCTCGATAATTATCATTATCTTCATTTGTTTTTTTTTTTTGTTCAAAAGGGACTTGCTACACTTTCGAAATAAACGGTTTATAATTTTAATGTGTATATATATATATAAGCTTCAATATATATTATCTGCTAACAAATCAATGTTCAAATCTCAAGTGCGGCAAAGTTCTCAAATAAAGTCCATAGCTTTAGATGCTAGTGCTTTAAGATTCTAGTCTTGGAATTTATTTCCAATTATAGGACCAATACCAATTATCCATTATAGCATATACACTTAGTCTTAATAAGAAGACGAATGAGCGACGCAAAGAAATTGTGATGTGATCACAGAAAAATTCAGAAATATCTACACTTTGCTGATTTCATTAGCCTCTATGCCTATATAATAATGAACCACAAAGATTGCACGCTTACGCTTATACAAGATAAAATTCTCTCTCAAAAAGCATACTATAATAAACGTCTAAACGTGCAACGTGCACAAGATGAGGTTAATATCGACAAACCCAGATAACGGATAATAGCATATAGAAAAGATTGTTACACACAAGCCTTACCATTTCTTAGGTTGAAGTCATTAGCATTCAAATTTCGCATTTTGAAGAACCAAAAACCTATGGACCGATTTAATTGCTTTTGAAGTTTCATCTAATCATCGTAAAAAAAAAAAAAGAAAGGAATTTACTAACGGGGCTCTTTAGTCAATATTTCAATCGAATTAAATTCATTCTTCATCACGATGAAAATTTTATTTATCTACCGTAATATTTTATGCGTTAGTTATGTTTTTTTTTTTTTTTTGCCAAATTTAATACATTTCCTATAGAAAAAGTTTTTCAACGGTAAGTGGGCCCATGAATTTATATCTAATAACAAATGAAATAGTGCAAACAGAATAGAATGCAAATACATGTGAGCAAATAAACAAACATGCGATTAATGTAAACATGTCAACAGATGTATCAACAATTTCATTCTGACAGCCTTTAATATTGCATGCATACATACATATATGGGTATACCACACATTAAGTATGGAAACATTGGTATACATATATTATATAGTGGAGGCAAACATTCACTTATAGGGGCCTATGCGTGAATTGAAAGTAAACAAAATAAGAAACAAAATCAGAGAGAGAGAGAGAGAGAGAGAGAGAGAGAGAGAGAGAGAGGGAGAAAAAAAAAAACAATAAAGCAGCTTTAATGTAACAAACGGAGATAACTGGAAAAAAAATTTATGTCCGAACATAAATTTTATGCAAAAGTCCGTTTTTGCTTATGTTTCAACTAAAATGACACTGAAATACATACGCATTTGTATTGAATAAAGGTATTTATGCGTAGGCGTAAGAGTCTACCGAAAAGGTCATAGGGGGAAAGATGGAAATAAGCCGTATGTATTGTTATGTTTTGTGTATGATAATACACATATAATACGTATGCAAATTTTATCTGTAGCTGCTGCTACTACGCTTACCATAGTTAGGGAACTTTTGTTTGTTTTTTTTTTTCTTTTTTTTTGAAAATTTCTTTCTCCTTTCCTTTTTTATTCTTTCATTTGATATTCGTGCACGCACGCACTTTGAAAATAACATATTTCGTTTAGTATTATTGCAGGAGGCAATTTATCCTTACACACAACGGTGTTATCAGCGACTATCCACATACAATCAGATCCAAGCGTAAGAACGCAGACTCATACACCGAAGTCTATATACAAATCTATTCATAAATATATATATATATATATATATGTATATATACATATATATAAATGCATATATATTTGCACATAATTGCCACGGCAGTAGTATGTATCGGCACATATTTCCATTGTTATACAAAGAAAATTGTAGGTAACAGAGAAAACTTGTGCAAAAAAAA